GGAAACTTCCTCGGCTAAAAAGTAGTGAAATGGTAAAATTACATACAAAATGAAAGTGTTAATAAGTCTGTAATCTGGCATATCTCGTTTCCCTTCCTTAAAAATGGCTTCTTGACAGCCACCCTTCCACTGAAACCATTTCCGATGAGGCTTCAGTGAACAGTAGATCAAATGAAGGTGTATCTCTCAGGTCCTGCGTCAGGTCTTTGCTGGATCTTATTTCTGAAGGATGTTACTTTCAGACACTGTTCATCTCTTGTAGATAATTTTATAGGCCTCTAACCTTTTGGGTTTTTTATTAAGGATATACTGCATGCTGCCAAAATGTGTTGTCTTTTGCATTTTTCATAGATTCAGATAAAGAAATGGAAAAAGTTGTATCTGTCGACACACGCTGGTTTATCTTTGAGTTAGGTACTGTTTGTATTCATGAATGATTCAGTGTTAAGTGACTTTGAAACCAAACAAAGAACAACAATATTCCTCTGAAAATGGTCAGGTGCAAGGAAGAGAAGCCAGTGTCCAAAAAAAGTTTCCTCGAGACCATCTGAATTCCTTGGAAACCAAATGTAAAGAAAAGAGTGGTGGCCAAGGTGCACAATACTGTACAGTAATATTCGAAGATTGATATGATCTTTCAAATAAAATCAAGTTTTGAGTTTGGTCCCTAGTTAGAAAACCCCAAGTCAGTATATACGCAGATATTTCCAGAAGTATGTAGACCTTGAGAATATTTGAACAAACATATTCAGAAGCTAATTGGCTGTAGAGAGCACATTTTCTTGACTTTAAAATAATGATTAGAAATTAATTCTCGCACTTTTTTTGCTGTGTACAGCTGTATGAACGCCACAGGGCAAACATTTTTGGTATTCCTGGTGCTGGTGCCAGCAGGACTCTTAAAGCTTTCAGATTTTTCCAACCCTGTGCTACATTTTCAATTTTCGCATCCTGGCAATCGATTGTGTAACTTCAGTAGCTATCATGGTTTCCTACCTCCAGGTGTTACTGGAGGCAGTAGCGAGGATTGCTTCTCCATAATGCAAAGCTCGCCCAATGAAATTTCCAGCAGCTGAAAAGAAGAAGTGCTTGCAATATTAATTTGACACAAAATTGCTCATGCAGCAGCGCAACAGAACAGGTCTTTGGGTTTGATTGGATCTTATAGATTTGAGTAATTATGACAAAGTATTGTTTTGGTTTTAATATACAAACTACAGTGTACAACTGAAGTTACACAACAAATGCACCTTACAGTAACAGCATATGCAGTGAGCTGTGGCTCCATGTTTGATGTTTGTATCCTCGGCTCAGTTCTCTTTTCATGTTTCTATAAATACATTCCTATGCACCATCTCCTCTCCTCAGAATCAGCATTGTCTTACAGAAGACAAACCATCGGAGTGGAAAAAACTCACTTCTCTTTTCATGTCATAATGAAACAAAATAATCTAAGCATATTTCATCAAGAAAAAGGTAATTAAGGTAATGAGGTTTTTTTAATTTTTTTATACAGCATTGAAATATGCCTGGCACAGGCATAATTTGCTGCGGACCTTTTTTTTTTACAGTAATTAATGACCTCCGAGGCATTTTCCTGCTTTCATATTGCTACTCATTGCATGAGCGTTTCTTTTTTTTAAGGCCACAGTATGGTTTTGTCGGTCAGTTGTTGTGACATTGGAACTCTTATTCCTTTTTTTCCTTCTAAAATGATGCTTTCAAAATGTTTTTCTCCCGAGAGTCCAGCCATCCTCTTCAGATTAAATCGACTATATAAAAAATAAAATGAGTCAATCAAGTCATTTTTGCTTTTTCGTTGAAAGTGCACACTTTACTGGGCAAGAACTTCTACTATCCTTGTAGATGCTTTTCTAAGTAGTGTATTTATTTTCTAGAGCTGAAAAACCTCTTAGGGAGGAGGCAGGGATGGATGAATAGGGCAACAAGTTATGAGGCTTCAGCACAGGAGACATTTTATAACCAACCCAACTTAACCCGATAAACTTGGTGAGGCGTCAGTCACTACAGGCTTAGAGGATCAGTTAGTGACCCACAATATCTGGTCACCAGGGGAAAATGTTTATTGCCAACCTTTCGGCAAGTGGTTACTGGAGCTTGCTAGTATTGGTTACGTGAAATCGATGGAAGATGGTGCTGCATCACAAACTGTGTTATGATTACTTAGGTCATGAGGAGATGGCTACAATCAATAATAGTTTGCATGGAAGACACTTGCCTCTGACACCTGAGCGGTAGTGAAATTTAAAAAAGAGCGGCAAACACTAGAGAATGTTTTCCTTCAAAAAGAAAAGTCGTCCTACCCTGAAAAGGGCAACTTTTGCTTTGAAGGCAAATTGTCTCGGTTTCCACTTCCTAACTAGTTGGCCAGTGTTTGCAGACAAGTTGGAGTCTTCTATACATACTGTGGCGACAGCGGCAATCTACTAGTGACCAAAGCAATAAGATATTTTTGCAGTATCTCATAATATTTTTCATCCAGCCACTGTCTGCAACCTCCAGCAACCACTCATCAACTTGTCAGGGAATACATATTTTTCCGTAACAGCTGCGGGGTCTCTGGGCCTGTGTTAGTAAGGCCTAAACAAACAAATCCATAGATGTGGCAGAACAGGAGGCAACATTTCGTAATTATTTGAGTGACCTTTGTAACTTTCACTGCAACTGTAAATCTGCATATTGTCTGCTGACATTTTATATTATTGTGCACATGTTCACTATTAGAAATAAGGGCTTACGTAATAGCATGAATCATCACAGAACATTATCTCTTTTTTGGTCATTATAAGCCACTTATTCTATTCTGCTTCACCAAGCTACTACACTACACAGCCACCTAGAGTTTGGGGTCAATGACTTCCTAATTCCTTTTTATTGATGTAATAGTTTGAGACAAAAAAAAAAACAATCATTGTGCAGGTGCTGGACAGTGACCAATCCAAAATCTAAAACTTTAAATCCAGACTTTGGTCATGCAGACAGAAGCTATCCAAACTAGGTTAGCATGTGGTAGAAAATAAAACTGACAGAGTCTTTCATGAAGAAAAAATGGAAAAGAAATGGAAACTAGGAAGAGAAAAGAATCACTAGGACCACAAGAGATTGCTGTAAAGGTTAACATTAGGAGATTATAGATGATCTGGTAATAGTAAAGTCATTAACTGAACACATGTAGTAAATTAGAGGAAAAACAAACAAATGGAGAAAGTAGATGTGAGTGTTATAGAAAATGTCAAAATCATGACATTTGATAGTGTTAGCATATACAGCAAGGCTGCGTAGCACAGACCTGTTAATTAGTCCAAAGTAACAGAAATTAAGTAGTTAAACCTCACTCACCAAAACCAGAGTGCAGACTTATTCAAGGGTCAGTTTGTTCACATAAAATTCATGTTATTTGTCAGATTACACAGAAAAACACGTAGTGACGCAGACAGCTGCCAGCTACAGCCCCTGTGTCAGGGTCAATCTAACATTAAGCCTTAATAAAATTAAAATCTGTTACTTAATAACAGAATAAGGCAGAAATTACAAATAAGTACTTCATAGTGACAGCCAAAGGAGGAATGCGCTACCACTGTGGATGCTAATTAGCAACAACTGTTGACCACAAGCTCCTTAAAATAAAGTGTAAGCACTATTTGTTACAAAGCTATAGATACTAATAAGAAACTTCCATGTACCAAGTGATATAAGTACCAGTTACATCACCTGCTAAAATGGGTGATGTAAAACTATCCTTTTCTTGAAAAACGAGCCAAATACTTCGACCAAAATAGTATAATTTTTATAATGTGTTTTACTGGCCTCGTCAAGACAGAATCTTGCCTGCAGCATCAGTGAGAAATCATTTTCAAAGGGTTTTGAGTTGCATCATAAAGCTCCCAGCTGCTATTTGCTGCTCTACACAGAGGCCAAATGAAGATCTGAGTGCCCACGAAGGATCGGTTGTTGGGATAACACATTTTATGATACCATCTCGCGTTGTGCTGAATTATATTACGTGGGATTTCAGCTCAGTTTAAATTTCCAAAAAACTCGCCTCCATCTTGTCGATCGACTCTCTAAACCCAGGCTCATTTTTCCCAGGTTCACCTCAACGATCGCTGCTGCAGTCAAACCGCAACTCATTTGTATGGAAAAAGAAAAAAAAGCCTCAACCCTCCGAGTATTTCCAAGCGTGCAAAGATAGAAAACCTCTCCGATGCCACTTTGAAGACTAGAACCAATTAGGGAATCATTATAATGAGGAGCCTCTAAGTGCACGTCTTTTGTTACTCAGCAGCTGTCTAATTGGAGTTGGTGCATTTCGAAGGGAGTTGGGACCGAAGGCTGTTCTCGTGTCAAATGTGATAGGCTTTTAAATCAGCAACGTGCTCGTGGCTGACATATTGATCATTTATATCTCATTGCTGGTCTCGGGCGGTTTTGTTTTTCTTAGGTTAATTTTAATATTACCGCTGTTGCTGTACTGTAAGCATTTGTGAAACTCCCGTGTTGCAGTCATTATGAGCTGTACACAGCTGAAAGGACAGCATCTCTTCCTGCAGCTCTCGACCTTCCCGTGCCCACTGCAGCTGCAAATGTTTTTGTTTTGTTTTTTTACCTGACATTACACGGTGTTTTTGGAAATGGTTGAGTAGCTGCACAGCCCCTGTATATACAAAACAGCTTGTAATGTATTCCGTGTTGGCACCGTATCGTGACTTACTCAAAGAATGAGTGGCATTAGTACTGAAGTAGCTTCTGCTTTGAAAGCATGCACACTGATATTTAAAGCTTTGACTGGGTAATTCATCCTTCTTCTCCTTCTTCTTCTGTCCACTATTTAAATATATATATTTCCATGTGTTTGCTCCCATTTAAAGGACGCTTTTATTGTGGTCTTTAATGAATAAATCATACTCCCACAGTCCACCGAGGAGAAAAGATGTGGAATTTAATGCGCTCTCTCTTTCTTTCTGTTTGTGTTTTCACAGCTCCCCTGACAGACAAGCCGCCAAAAATCCTTTTCCCTTCAGAGAGCCAAATGAGCATCATAGAAATGGCAATAGGTAAGAAATCTCGTTTCATTCCCTACAGTGATCGCTTGTTTTATGAGGATACAGTGTCGCACTAGCTTGCGCTACACAATGGCATTGCTTCAGATTTCTAGATTAGCCAGTTGGCGCTTCAAAGTAGGTCCTGTTCTACTTTACTTTAGCTTTGGTTTTTTGGAGTGATGTGCTTATTTTGTCCATGTAGGATGAAAGTTTTAGAGTCAGATATTATTAGGTAACAACCCCAATGGTAGTTTCTTAATTTGTAGTGTAATACTTGGTAAATGTCGCCTTGCTGTTGCTGGGGATATTCTGCTCTTCCTCTATGAATATGCACCACATTGTTTCTCTTGGATACAATATTTTTTATTGAGGAGTTACTTCTACGTATTACCACTTTGCTTTTGCTCTGTTCTTTTTTCTTCAGTATCTATCAGGCAATTAATGTTAAATATAATTAGCTTTTTTCATGTTCTACATTAAGGTTTTGAGTTGGCAGTATGATCATAGCTGATAAAATAGTTGTTAAGTTTGTTGTTATTGACCGCCACTGTTTTTGTCTAGTTGCTCTTACAGACCATAACACATTTCTGCCTGTTAAATTAACGCTGTCCGTTATCATTTCAGATGGGCAGGACTGCCTAGCTCCAACAATAATGTTAACACTAGCCATAGCTGCTAGCCCCTATCCTGATCATGACTTGCCAGAGAGCTAATAGTTAAATGGTAATGTTAACACCAGCTTGGTCAATATTAATGATAACAGTTTCGTCGTTGCTGAAACAGGAGATTTACAGGCCCCTAGAAATTTCTCACAAAGACAGGGGTGTCGGTCTTTAAGTTGCTTTAGCAAGTTTGTTCTGCTGCTGTTCAAGAGTTCAGCTGCTGGTGGTGGGAGGGGCTAGGGATAAGAGGGACTGTGTGCCTGTCTGTCTGTAGCTGCTGTGTGAAGTCGTGTGTCTGCAGGAGGAGGAGGGAAAGATGTCATTGTTGGTATAAACAGCTTTGCAAATGAATATCTAATTTTTAGTACCAATTATTATTATCTTAGTAAAAATCCCACTCTGTATAATTGCCTCCTATATTACCCATGGTATCAGGAAAGTGCCCTCTTGTTTTCAGAATTGTGGTATAGAAAGCTACTGGAAATATCAGTTCTGGTGACATCCCTACCAAGCACTGTTCAATATGCAATATTTCAATTAGGTCTTTTTACTTTCCTGGCCCTTTTGTGAATGGACCTTGAGTTTTTATCAGGAAGGATAGAAGATAGAAAAGGATGAGTCATTTATCACATCTGTATATGAAAAAGAAAGTGATTCACTTGGTATAAAAGCCGTGTCCGCTGTGTTTCTTTCTCCTCCAATCCTATGCCTTTTCATTGTATTCACACTCATCACATCTATCTTGGTTATTTTGTGCAACACTGATGCAGCTTGTGTTTGTTCATCTTTAATGAGTCAGTACATAATCTCTCTTCGTATCATCTTCAGTGTATTATGTTAGCAGCACTCCAAGTGATTGCCTCCAATTCCGCCTCATGTGGCCGCCTCGGTACCTTTCGTTCGCCTTACCAGCTTTGGATGCAAGGGGGGCTCATGGGAAAATTCCCGCTTTGTGCCTTATTGGGCAAAAGCTCGGCTGTTGGTGGAAGAGAAAATGGGTCACGATGGAGGCTTCCTTTGAAGTAAATTTGTCATGGGCGATGAACAAAACGGTCTCGCAGAGGTAAAACGTGGCAATGGGAAAATAGGTGCAAGTCATTGTAGCCTTAAATTGATGATGGATAAAAGTCTCCCTGGTTTTCTTCATCTGATTAAGTTTTCTTAGTTGATAATGATGGTTTGCAAAATCCATTACCTGATAGCTTTGAGAACAGGCAATAAAGGTAGAAAAGATATGTTTTTACTAAACTGTACTTTTACTGTATTTTTCATCAAAAGAATATTTTGAGCCCTTCATTTTCACTGCTAATTGTACCAGGCTGCATTTAAAGGGCACCTATTATGCACATTTTTGAGCACATGCCTGTAATAAAGTAGCATTGCATTATTCAGAATTATCTATCTTTTTTATTATCTGTACAGCAATTCATGCTTAAGCTCCATGAACTATCCCTTTAAGGTAACTGTCTTCTGATTGGCTGCCCCTCATAAAAGATGGTTTGTGGGTGTGGCTTCCGTTCCCTGTCTGTGCCATATTAGGCATGTATGCGCTCAGTGATGTCATACAGAGCCAAAAGTGGAATAAACAGTATGAAATTTGAGCTTTAGGCTTATATAATAATAATAATAATAATAATAATAATAATAATAATGGATGCATTTATATAGCGCTTTTCGGGGCCCTCAAAGCACTTTACAATTCCTCTCACATTCACACACTGGTGGAGGCAAGCTACAGTTTAGCCACATCGGCAACCTTCCGGTTACAAGACAAACTGCCAACTCTTTGAGCCATGATCGCCCCACATATATATTACTTATTCATACTCTGACTTCATGATTTGAATCTTTCCATGTTTCATATGAGAATCCTGCCACTGTAACAGCATGAAAGATCCCCTTTAAATTTGCATTTTAGTTTTAACTGGTTAAGGATTAGCCAGAATTCTGTAGGGTTTTTTTAATGCTCCTCACCCACCTCTGCACCCTTTGATATTCTACACAGAGTCAGCAGCACTGTGTACATAATATATGAACACCTATTTGATTCTCTGCCAGTACAAGCTCCTATCACTTCTTCTCAGTGTTGGCCTAGTGCGCTTTTATCATCCACAGAGAGCCCAGTCAAACCCAGCATATCCTTTCAGGGTTTATGGCAGCTCGGGTGGAATTTTATTTATTTATTTTTATTCCTTCTTCCATAAAATATAGAAGAACAAATGGCTTCAGCTGACAGTTAATTAGGCAGGTGAGACGGGGAGAGCGACGAGAGTGTGAAAAGGCAAATGCGGAGATACACTTTTCAAGCGCTCGCTGCGGAACTCGAGGGAAGAACGGAGAGAGCAGAGGGATCTGTGGAGTGGGGGTCCCAATTAATCAGCATGTACTTTCCGTCCACTTCTCTGTCTCCTAATGGATGTGCTTCCTCAGTTATAACTGATTAAATTTAAAATGCTTGATTAAAACATGTTGTGTAAATGCTCTTCTCATGCAGGCCCTCAGTGGGCATGTCTCTCCGCTGCTTTCTCTGTGGGACAGATCAGATACAGTTCGCGTCTGTAATTCAGTCTGACATGTCACTGCACACTGCTTTCACTCTGTCTTGTACACATAATCGACTGGAGTACAGCTAAGCAGACTTACTGCAGGACAAGTGTTTCTACTGTACTGCTAATCTATACGCTTTGTAAATAGTTTAACAATTTAGGGTTGGGGGGAGGTTCGTTTCCTTTATGCATGAATATGTTTTTGGTAATCTTACTAAATTCGTTCGTTTTTCATCTATGTTCGTAAAGCGGACTCAACCATGGATTGAACCCTAACCAACCAGCTTTTTTGGGCCTTTATTCTGCTGCTGCGTCTTCCAGATTTGATTTGTTATAATCCTATTTTCTATGCAGCGCTAACATGTCACTCCCGGCCTACCTATCCTGACATTTTACTTCAGCTTAGATTGAATTTACGACCACTGTGGCACGCCGCCTGTGATGTTCATTCAGGGAAAACCCAGAAAGATCCCCTGTGATCTTGATTGGCTGTTGAAACTTCAATCCCTTCACCTCAATCCTCGGGATATCACACTTCATCCCCTGCCAATTGACATTATCGCTCGACAGCGAGTTTTCTGAAATTGCAGCAGAGGAAAAAAACCAAACTTTTTTATTTTCTTTTTTATTGAGCCTCCTGTTCAAATTCTACCTAATCTTTCAAGATTAAAAACAAGTGCTTCACTTTAAGAAGCTGTTCTACATCACCAGTCTCTAATATTTTGCAAATCTCAAGAGTTGTTTTCTGTTTCAGTGATTAAATTGATTATTTTGGTGTGTTCGCTTTTTCATCCCAAACTTCTTTGTTTTGGATTTTGTTTGTTTCCCAAAGTGTATTCTGGTAGTCTCTGGGCGGATGGAAGTGAATTTATGGTTTTCAGTTAACAATGTGGGGTAGCGCAACAACAAATTGTGAACACAGGAAAGGGTCAAAGGTCAAGAATACACCCTGGTAAAAGTAGATCCCTGTACTCCATTTAGGATGCTCCAGAAACCAGTTGATATGTCTGCAACATTTTGAATGGCTTTCTCTCTGTGTACAGGACATCTTTTACACTCTCGGATTGCACTAAATTGTGGCCAAAGGAAGGTAGACGCAACTATTGAGTGGCTTTAGTCTTGGACTGTGTTTTCATTGTTTGGTTTGGCACCATTCATGTGCATTTGCTCAAACTAACATTTTGCAAAACAGGAGCAATTTGCATCTTTTCACGCCCACTTGTGTTTTTTTCCACTGACCTTACAAGCCATCATGCCACATCTAGCATTTGCTTCCCATTCTGTCTGAACACACTTTTACTTCCAATTAACAGTACACAAAGCCAGGTCTACAAAGAAATGTTTTCTCACTTTGCTGTGGAAGAACTTGACGAGTCTGCACAAAACACCCACAATAAGCAACCAAACATCACAGCATTGAATTGAAGTACCGATGCCAGTATATAGGTTCCAGTATAATTAAACCTTCATGTGTGCTTATCTTTTCTTCAATGTAGCATCATTCCACTTTGTGTTTATAGATGTAGAATACGTATAGATGATGAGTGGTAGCCTATTGCAGGTTTTTATTGCTGGTACATGCCCATGCTATGGTGTTTTTTTTGTCCTGTTTGTACTGACCAGCATTTTTCTGATGTAATATATATACAACTGGAAAAAAAATAGTCCTGGAAATCTATACTGATACAGACGTCAGTCGACGGAAATGAAAATGATCAACCTACAGAGGCCTGAATTCAGACACCCTGAAAATCACAGACGAAAAATGATGCAGCAGGCTAGTTTTTTTTGCCAAACTTTTATT